ATACAGGTTTAAACCCAGAGTTAAACTGAGACAATCCTGTGTTATACAGGTTTAAAACCAGAGTTAAACTGAAATGATCCTATGTTTATAAAGGGTTTAAACCCAGAGTTAAACTGAGACAGTCCTGTGTTACACAGGTTTAAACCTAGAGTTAAACTGAGACAATCCTGTTTTATACAGGTTTAAACCCTGAGTTAAACTGAGACAATCCTGTGTTACACAGGTTTAAACCTAGAGTTAAACTGAGACAATCCTGTTTTATACAGTTTTAAACCCAGAGTTAAACTGAGACAATCCTGTGTTATACAGGTTTAAAACCAGAGTTAAACTGAGACAATCCTGTGTTATACAGGTTTAAACCTAGAGTTAAACTGAGACAATCCTGTGTTATACAGGTTTAAAACCAGAGTTAAACTGAGACAATCCTGTGTTACACATGTAAACCTGGAGTTAAATCCGATACAAACTGGTAATAATCTGTGTACAAACCAAACTCAAAGTATTTGCATATCAAATGTCTGAAAGTAATTATAAACAAACAGGATGCAAACTGTTTCCATGACTCTGTAGTCCTGAGGTCAGAGGTCAGCCTGGAGCTGCTTCATGACTCAGCAGAGTCAGAACTGGGTTTGTTTTCAGCTGGTTTGTTGATGTGGGAGGGTTTACAGTACACACACACACACACACACACACACACACACACACACACACACATATAAATGAACACGTAGAAGCCTCGTTGACTGTGTCGGTCCACTGCTGTGACGAGCTGTGCGTCGGCCATATTGGAGGTGGCACCGCTGCGCTGTGTACTGCTGCAGATGAATGGACTTTGTTTCATAAAGCACATTTAACAGAGATTTACGTTAATACAGCACCATCATTTATTCAAACACACACACACACAAACACACACACAACTGAGAAAAACAGGTACCAAAAACAATGTATTAAAACTTCTTACAGGACTACAAAATACAACTTTATTGATCTCACACACAGTTTATGTTTCAGAAGCTGGAAAGGTAAAGTAGTGTAAAAATATATTTATGTAACACTTTGTATTATTATATGAATTGTAATGAATGAATAAAGGAAACCTATACAGAAAAAAAAGCTAAACACACAGAAACAACAGTCTAACAAAACGTTTGAACTAATTTATTTATTCATTGTTTTATCTTCTGAATAAGAGATACAGTTGGTAATTAAAAAACTTTATTACAATCTTAAACTTTTGACAGTTTCATTCTGACCAGATATATTAACCCAGTTGTTAAATTATTAATATAATAATAACAACAATAATAATAATAATACTTTACTAACCCCCAAAAGGAAATTACATTTTCCAGTACAGCCATCCATTATTATAAGAATTCCTACAAAAAGAAATCTTATGTTTGCATTAAAAGATAAGGGATGTTGTGAAGTTAACTAAGTTAGCTCACATGTTATCTGTACGAGCAATACAGTGGCTGCTGTTTGATGGAGCTGCTCACAACAGACCTGAGACAGGTCCTGACTCTGTTATGATAACACTATGACTTAATCCTCATATTACTATGACTTTTATTCTAGTAAAACTTTATATATATATATGGCATATGTATGTACGGTATATGTATGTACGGTATATGTATGTATGTATGTGCATTTATATATGTATGT